CCAGGCCAGCTCTCTGCTATGGCCAGGGAGTGCAGTGGAGGATGGCCCAGGTGCTTGGGCCCTGCACCCCATGGGAGACCAGGAAAAGCACCTGGATCCTGGCTCCTGCCATCGGATCAGCGCGGTGCGCCGGCTGCAGCGGCGGCCATTGGAGGGTGAACCAACGGCAAAAGGAAGACCTTTCTCTCTGTCTCTCTCTCTCACTGTCCACTCTGCCTGTCAAAAAAAAAAAAAATGCTATAGTACTTTAACAAGCACAGGCTGATAGTAGTGCATGAATTTATGGATTTAGTAATGGAATGGAATGGAGAACCCAGGAATCAACAATTAACAACTACCAAGATTAATTGTATTATAAAGGTGACACCAAAAATCATGGGAAGAAAATGTGTTGCCTATTGAATAACTATTGTTTGGGCAACAGAATAACTATACAGAAAAAGTAAAGTTGGATACATATTTTCTATTTTTCAACAACATAAATTAAATATGGATCAAATATATAAATATAAAATATGAAACCCTTGGAGATTAAGAAGAAATCCTCGATCCTTTTGTAGCCTTGAGATAGGACAGTATATGCCTGGGGCTTTAGGGTCCAGGGCAAGCAGATCCAGATTCTGACAGGTCAGAGAACAAATTGGAGTCATTTGTGGGTTTATATCTCCTTTACTCACGGTGTCGGAGAGTAAAGGAGCCGCTTGCCCCCAACAGCGGTGGGGCCACATGGCAGCAGTCAGACACACATACAGAGAGATCTACACACATCCATACATAGTCACATACAACTATACATTCACACATCCACAAAAAGCCGCATCTAGCCATGTTCTCCAGTTGCTTATATGGGTTTACAGACAAAAGTGGCCCAGAGCCAAACCATTATATAACAGGGCTGCAGGCAGCTAGCCAAGCAGGTGGATCTGTCGGTTACCATGACACCGGGTACCATACAGAGACAGAGATATGGGAGCAAGGGCAAAAGATGTAGGAACTTGATAATATCACCTTCCCAAGTTCATCTCTCCAACAGGCGGTTTTTTGTTTTTTAAACTAAACTTAGGGGCAGTTATTTAGCATGGTAGTTAAGATGTTCATTAAGATGTTTTGCATTCCATACCTGAGTACCTGAGTTTTAATTACCAGATGTGGCTCCTGACTCCATCTTCCTGCTAATGCTGATCTTGGGAGGCAGGATGATGACTCAGTTAATTTGATTCCTGCCACCCATGTGGGAGACCCGGACTGAGTTCCTGGTTCCCCACATCAGAAAGTCCCTGCCTTGACTGTCCCTGGCACTGGGGGAAGGAACCAGTGGATTGGAGCTCTCTCTGTGGGTCTGTCTCTGTCTCTCACATAAAATATATAAAAATTAAAATAAACAAACAAAACCCAGCTAATCTTAGAAGCCAAATGAGAGTAGTCTGATAACATTTGTAGGTGGTCAAGCCATCATTAGTAAAGTAGAAAATACAAATGACAAATTGGATTGAAAAGTATCTTCCTGGGGCCAGCACTGTGGCGCAGTGGGTAAAGCTGCCTCCTACAATGCTGGCATCCCACATGGGTGCTGGTTCTAGTCCCGGCTGCTCCACTTCCAATTCAGCTTTCTGGTATGGCCTAGGAAAGCAGTAGAAGATGACCCAAGTCCTTGGGCCCCTGCCCCCTCATGGGAAGACCCAGAGGAAGCTCTTGGCTCCTGGCTTCGGATAGGTGCAGCTCCAGCCATTGCAGCCAATGGGAGTGAACTAGCAAATAGAAGACTTTCTCTTCTTCTGCCGCTCCTCTCTCTGTGTAACTCTGACTTTCAAATAAATAAATTAAGGGAAAAAGGAAAAAGAAAAATGTCTTCCTTATCTTCTCTCCATTCATCTGGCTGGTCCCCCTCATCCCTGAATATCTTAAAGGTTATTTCCTCCACTTAGCATTTCCAGGTACTCACCAAGTTCATTCCTCTTCGGTGCTTTACACTTCCTGAGTGTGCCTGTGTCCCTGCTTTCACCATATGTTTGGAAATTAATTGTAAACTGGATTTATGTATGTTAATCTTTTCTTCCCAGTTAATTATTAAACTTCAAAGACATGGTATCTTTGTTTAAATTTCATGAGATAACATAGGTGAATTTCTTAGCATCTTTCCTGACTTCTCTCAGTCTGCTACTTTGTGACTTTGTGTAAGTGCCTTGAACTCTTTGAGTCTCGATTTTCTCTCCTATAGAAGAGGATGATATTATTATGAATTTTATAATGTTGCTTTGAGAATTAAATGAGTTTGTGCATATAAAAATGTGATTATAACTTGAATATTTGATTCATTCTACATTACATCTTAGTAGCCAGGCACACCAAAGGTGTCATTTTAATCAATGTTTACATAAAGATGTGCTTTGTTTGAAGCAAGACTTGCTGACTCTGTGGTGGGTAGGTGTTGTCTATGGATACAGAGGACAGGGAGGTCTCTAGAGGAAGACAGACCTCCCAGAGACACCTTGAATGGTAGCTTGGGGAAGCGAATTCCTGGGAGCCCACATGGTGGGCATTTCTAACCTATTCTTCAGGCTTTTCTGTTTCACACAAAAAGAGGAAGTCTCTGAGGACTCCAGCAGGAGAAGACTCTATGCTCACCTCCTGCACCGCACTGCTTCCTGATAAGTAGCTGACACACAGGCATTCCATCTCCATTGTCTGTCATCTGTCTACAACTCTGCATAACAGAACTTTGTACAGTGATGGAACTGTTCTAAACATATGCTATCCAGTGTGGTAGCCACAAGGCTATTGAGCATTTGAAATGTGGTTAGTTTGACTAAATAACTGAATTCTCAAGTTTATTTAAAATTGAAATTGAACAGTGCAGTTCTATACAGTGTTTCATTCCCCTCTTTATGTTCAGCATTTGCACAGAGACTGGCTCAGAAAAAGTATCAAGGAATATTTAAGTGATTATCTTAAATCACCTTGGGCCCTTTTATGTATTGAATTTATTCTTGTAAAATGCCTTTTCATCCATCACCCCATTTGTGACTTACAGAAAACTTTGTGATACACAGGGCCTTTGCCTTAGTTTGTTGAAAAGGAAACTGAGGCTTCACAAGTTTGAGTGATTTTCTCAGGCTAGAAAAAGGTCAACTCTTAGCAGAACCCTCAATTTTCCTCTTTTTTCTTTCATTTTCCCATATCTAATGAAGCTGCTTTGTCCTCTTTATCCCTTAGTGACCCTGCCACACCGAAATTCCCACAGTCTTCACAAACTTTAGCTATCATTAGGATTGTGGGAAGCTTGTGCATATTCATCCTGCTGGTTTGGTGGACATGCTTATGAATTTTAAACTGCTCAAATGTGAGGGGTATTTCTGATGGCTATTTTCATGCTGTTGTGGTGCTCACATCTTATTTCTGGTATCAGTGTAGGGGAGTGGACAGTTCCATGCATGTTGCTAGTATCTCACCTCAAAGATTTTCTGGTCCCTTTATGTTTTTCTGCCCCAAGACCTTTTATTAAACCTTAAAAGTCTGCTCAGGCCTGAGCGAGCATAACCAGGAAATGTGACAGTTCAAGTTAGGGGATGGAGAGTAACTCTTGACCAGTGGGAATGGAAACTAGGAAATAAATGTCCCAGTCTACATTTTTTCAGTGAGTCAATGGCTGAGGCACATCTTCAGAAGTCTCCAGTGAGGTTAAGCACAGTTGTCTACTACAGCAGTTAGCTCAATAGCACACTTTTCTCGGCTTGTTGCACCTTGCCCTCTTTCACTCTCTCGACCTTCCTCTGTATCCACTCAGAGTAGCAGCACCCAAAGTCCTTGCCTCAGGCTCTGCTTTTGGGGAACCCAAATGAAGACACTAGCGAATCATACAGAAACCTCCTTAGAGGCGGTGCTCTCTTTTGTGTGGTTCATGGTCAACCCTAGTGACTGACTTCTTGCAGTTTCCTGTGATCACCCACACTTCTGTTCCTGGTCTCATGCACACTTTGCACATCTTTTGCCTGGCTGGCTTCCATTTATTCAAGGTTCAGCTAGGGTAATCCACCTGTCTGTGGGGTTCACTGATTATCCCTCCCCACCTCCAATTTATAATTCCAGCACTGCATCCAGTCCAATAAACATAGTTAAGCTCTATCAAAGCTATTATCTTTTTGCTTCTTTCTGTGAGCTTCTTGAGGAGAGGTCTACGTAGCAAAGTACAAATTTAAGTGCTCAATAAAACTGGTAGGAATGTGCAGGACTGAAGTTAAGGTATCATTTTTCATCCAGCAAAGATTTACTGAGAAGCTATCGTGTGTCATTCATCATGCTGTACTATGCAGTAAACAAAGATGAAGGGACCCACCCCAGCTCAGGGTCAAGTAAGGAAGAGAGCACTGTGGGAGAAAGGAAACGCATGCATAACGGACTGTGGGAGGACAGGGTTGGTAAGGGAAGGATAATGTTCCAGTTTAGCCTTCCGAGATGGGAGATGGTGAGCTTCACTGACAAAGGTGGAAAAGGGCGTTCCAGGCATACCCAGGAATGTGTACATTAGCAAAAGAAAAGTCTTTACTAGAGTTGGATGCTGGAGTGGTTGCAGTGGGGCGAGACAGAACCCTTTGGGCCTCTGGGCGTTTGGGCTGGGGTGGGCACACGGCTAGTTCTCAGCGCATTTAAGTTGAAGTCCTAAGTCGCCTAGCATCTCCACGCCGGCCAGGCACGCCGAGGAAGAAGAGCTGGCAAATCATGACACTTGCTCCAAGTCCCCAGAGTTGAGCACCGACCAGAGAAACGCCAGCTCAGCCGGGATCGGTCATCTTCACAGTGAACCCCATCTGGGGCAGGAAAGTGCCATCCGACACACCTGGCCCTGGAATCGCGGAAGCGGCTGAGCATGCTCAGTTGCCGGCACCCTGTGGGCCGGTGGCAGAGAAGCGGCGCAGCGAGCCCCAGCCCCGCGGCGCGAACCCCTTCCCTGGCCGGGCGCCGCGGGGCGGGGCTTCAGACGCACGCTCCCAGCCGGCCCGCCCCTCCGCCCCCCGCCACGCGCCGGCCGCCAGCGTGCCCGCCGCCCGTTGCCCCGGCAACCGTCGTGCCGCGTCTTCAGGAGGGATCCGTAAGCCGGCGGATCCCACCACCCGCTCCACCACACTGCCCCGCGGTTTTCGTGAGGTCTCAGGGACGGAGGGACAGTAAAAATGGCGGAGCGGAGCCAGACGGCGCCTGAGGCAGGTCTGTGGGGGCGGTCTGTTGGGGGAAGGCTGAGGCGGCACGCCTGTCCTGGGCCTGAGGTGACAGGCAACTCGGGCATGGCCCTACTCCAGAGGAAGAGCCTCGGCGTGCCGGGGCTAGGAACTCGGAGTCAAGGGAAGTGTGTACCCCTCCGAGTGACTGACAGGGGCCTAGAAGACCTGGTTTCAGAGGGGTGTGTGGGCAGTGTGCACACTCTTGAGTGGACATGGGCCAGGAAAGGACCGAGACGCCAGGGAAAGCACAGGACCCTGATCTCAGGAGCACCTGTGGTGGGTGCTAAGCCCAAGGGTAGTCTGCGTCATGGAGCGCCTGCGGGAGCATGGGAGGGATTCCTAAAGGGGCACGATTTGTTGGGGGCGGGGCGAGGAGGAGCCTCTGGTTCTTGGAGAGGCAGGTGTGTTACATTGGTATCAGTGCCATGGAAGAGGGCTTTCACACAGAGTGTGTTTTGTAAAGTGTAATGTCCTCAGGGTCACTTTCTGTCACAGAGAAAGTTTACAAATCCTTGATGAATCCTAAAAAACACAGCAGGCTTGAGGGGAAGGACCCTCAAATCCCCAGTCCTTGAGGAGCCTATCAAAGGAGTCCAGGACCTGACTGTCTTAGAGTATTTGGGATCAATGATCTTGAAGGTCATTCAAAATCACAAAAGAGTGCATGTCCACGTCTCTGTGGGGGGAAGATAGTCTTTAGGGAGGCTGAGAGGAAAGAAGATCCCGGGCCCTATTCCCTTATGGTTATGGCTAGGTTTAGAGTATCCTACGGGCTCATAGAAGAAGGCAGGGGTTTGTACAGCACTGTGTATGAAGGAAGGAGTTTGTTCCTAACAAGCACTGAGGACTGAAAAACTGGAGCTTCAATACAAAGGATGATATCCGTGCGTGTGCAGAAAATCAGTGGCTTTAGAGATATTTATGGTATTGGTTACCTTGTATATGAGTCTTGATTGGGTATTGTGATTACAAGAGCAACCCACTTAAATTACTCTAGCCCCGGTTTCGTGTGTGTCTGAGTGTGTGAATGTATGTGTGTGTGTAGGGGATGGGTGGGTGGGAGGGTTTGGTAAGGCAATAGGGACCAGAACTGGAAGCTATATGAAGTCATCAGGAATGGTTCAAGGTTTGATGGTTTCTCGTTCTTTCTGTGTTTCTTCTACCAGGTAGTTCCTTTACGCATTTTATAGTTTTGTCTCCCTCATAACTTGAATATGTCCATTCCTTTGTCTATTTCTTCACTCAAGGAATTTTTATCAAATGCTTACTTTGTGCCAGGAGCAAGTTATACCCTGGAAACTCTATGCTTGCTCTTCTTTCCCCAAGCATTTTACTGCATTTGAACATACTATTTAACTACTTGTATTGCTTAGTGTCTGTCCCCTTTCACCAAAAGGTAAGTTCCACAAAACATTTGTTTTTATCAATTCCACATATCTAGTACTGTAACATAGATAGATAGATAGATAGATAGATAATGTTCTCAGTAAATATTTGTTAAATGAATAACCTAAATGACCTATATTATCTGGAAGTTATATTTTAGCTGAAATATGATGGAGATTAGACAAATGAAGAGAAAGACAGATAGTGGTGTAAGCAGAGGGAAAAACGTGGGAAGATTCTAAGGCACGTGGAAACATGATTTTGTATGTTTAAGGAACTGAAATGAGACAAATATGGGGTGTGTGTGTGTGTGTGTGTGTGGCAATGGGAGGAGAGAAGAGGTGAGCTGAAGCCAGATCTTACAGGACTTTGTAGACTATAGTATGAATTTTGGTAAAAAAAAAAATGAGAATGATGAAAGTCTTTGAGGGATCTAGAGTTGGGAGTATGACATGATGAGAATCATTAAAAAATAATTCTGGCTGCAAAGCAGAGAGTATGGAGGTTATAGGAGTGGATCTAGGCAGATTTGTTAGAAAGTAGCAGTGAAGATGAAGAGAAGGAGTTGAGAAATATTTAGGATATAAAAGTTATAAGCCTTTGAGGATGAGGAAGAAGGAGGTATCAAAGACTACTTCTCATTTTCTAAGTTAGAAAACAACTAAATAGTTGTTGCCATTATTGAGATGGAAGCATTGGAATTGGTCTTGACTAGGTTTGAGAGGGATGATCATTAGTTTTGATTTGATAAATGGAGTTTGAGTTATCTTTCAGATATCCAAATAAGTGGGGAGATTGCCAAGACAGTTACATTTACAAGGAAATTGCTAAGACAGTTACATTTACAAGGAAAGTTTGAACTGGCTTAGAGGTAATTACTGAAGCCATGGATGCCAGTGAAAATGTCTAGTTATAGAGGCCTGGGATGAAGTATTGAGTAGCTGCAGTATTTCATTGCCTTCTATAGAGACTCAAAAGGTACAATCAGAGAATTAGAGTATAACCAAAAGATAAATGGAATACTCTCTAGACTGAATGTTGCCAAGTAATACAAAATGAAGAATGAAAAATAAGATTTAGAAACAAAGAGACCATGCTAATCTTTGGGGAAGAAAATTGTTGATGGTAAAAAAAAAAAAAACAGGTCAATTTGATTTTGAATCAATATTAACTAGCTCAATCTTTGTTTCTTAATTCAGATTTCCTAAAGAGGAATTTTACTAACACTCTATATTTTAATACTAGATCACAGTCCAGTATTAGAATTGACTGTTTTTGATTGGATATCCAGCCATTGTTGGCTGAAGCAACCTAGTACAATATGTGGCCATGTGGTGATTTCTCACATCAATAGTAATAGCTAACAGTTATGGAATGTTTATTTTGTGACATGCATGTTCTTAGTGCTTTATACGGTTTTATCTTGTATGTGGAGAAATTTTGACAAAGAGAAGTTGAACAACTTGCTCATAATTTGCAAAAGATTAATATAAAATTTTAGTTTTCCAGGTTATTTTATTATTTGGCCATTTATATTACAACATACCATATATTGAAGAAATCATAACCATAATGAAAATTCTTGCCCTACAGAAACTATTCTAAGCTAAGCATATTTTAGTAAGGATGTAGAAAGAACTGGAGCTCCAATCCTTGTGTAAATCCTATTTTGTGATTTTATTAGATTAGGCTTTGTGCTCAACTTTTCTGATCTTCATTATCCTCATGTGAAAAATGGGGCTGATATTTACAAGATAGTTGTGAATATTAGAGATGATATATTTGAAGTCTCCAATAAATTTTATTTCCTTAGTTCACTTGAAGTTTGAATATAAAAAATTTTAAATATAGCTTACACAATTTACATGTAAAATGAGATATTGAATGTAAATGATGAATGTAAAGCATTTCTTCCCCATTGTTATAACTGCTTTGCTACTAGAAGAAAGGCCAACCCTAATGTTTAGAGAATGTAGAATTATCCGAATTACCTGTTAGGGGACCCATTGCTGTATGACCTGCATTTTGACAAATTTCTTCATGGAGTAAAATGATGCTTAATATATTTTTAGCAAACATGCATATTGCTCTGTAAGAAGAGTTGTAAAAGGAAGTTGTTTCTTCTTTTAAATCTTGTATTTTAATATGAGGAATGAGAGACATGACTATCAGGACTATTCCTCACCTGCCAAAATTTAACTGTCAATAATAATGACAAAGAAAACCATATGGTTAACTAAATGTAGAAGTATTAACAAACCTTGATTGCACCTGCTTCAGTTTATTAGCTTCTTTTCCCTTATTTCCAATGGTTATAAAGAAAGATTTTTTTGTATGGATTACTTGTTAAGATAGTTTGTTTTCCTGTTGTGGTTTTAATTTGTGTTTCCCTGATGGCTAGTGATGTTGAGCTGCTTTTCTCCTATATTTTTTGGCCACTTACGTTTCTTCTTCTTTTGAGGTCTTTTGCCTATTTCTATACTGGATTGGTTGGTTTTTGTTGTTGTTGAGTTTTTGAGTTGCTGATACATTCTGTATATTGATCCTTTGTTGGGTAAGTAACTTGCAAATATTTTTTCCCATTCTGTCGATGCTTCTTCACTCTATTTTTTTTCTCTTGATGTTCAGAAACTTCTGAGTTTAATATGATCCCATTTGTCTAGTTTTGCTTTTGTTTTCTGTGCTTTGGTGGTCTTATCCAAGAAGTCATCACCTACACCAATGTCTTGGAAGTGTTTTCCCTGTATTTTCATTTAGTTAACTACATAGTCTGAGATCTTAAATTTAGGTCTTTGATCCATCTTGCATTGATTTTTGTATATGGTGAGAGGAAGAGATCTAATTCCATTTTTCTACATATATACATCCCATTTGGCCAGCACTATTTGTTGAAGAGATTATCCTTTCTCCAGTATGTGGCCTGGGCACTTTTGTAAAAAATCAGTTGGTGGGGCCAGTGCTGTGGCACAGCAGGTTAAAGCCCTGGTCTGCAGTGTTGGCATCCCATAGGGGCACTGGTTCGAGCCCTGGCTGCTCTCTTCTGATCCAGCCCAAGTCCTTGGCTCCTTTACTCATGTGGGAGACCCAGCAAGCTTGTGGCTCCTGGCTTCTGATCAGCTCAGCTCTGGCCGTTGTGGCCATTTGGGGAGTAAACCAGCAGATGGAAGCCTTCTCTCTCTCTCTCTCTGTCTCTACCTCTCTCTGTAAATCTGGATTTTAAATAAATAATCTTTTAAAAAAACTCAGTTGTCTGCATGTAGGTAGATTAATTTGGGGGCTTTCTATTCATTCCACTGATCTATGTGTTTATAAAAAGAATGAATTTCTACCATTTGTATCAAACGATGCATCATATTGAGTGAAATAAGCTGGACACAGAAAGATAACTACTGCATGTTTTCCCTCATATGTGGAAGCTAAAATTAATAAAGAAAACATGTCAAGAAACAAAAATAAAAAAAGAATTACCTGTGTGTATAAAATAGTATGAAAAAAGCAAAAAATGTTCCTCAAATTGTCAATTTCACTTCTACAGATTACCTTTTTTTATTTTATTTATTTTTTGACAAGCAGAGTGGACAGTGAGAGAGAGACAGAAAG